CCCCTAAATTTTCCACAAGCTGTTATTGGTACCAGAGAGATTAAACGACATTATATTAAATTAAATTATAGTATATAAGTATGTGAGAATTTAATGAAATATATATATATATATATATTTTAAAAAAAGTCAATTCTAACACTAACCTAACATCCAGTTATCACAACACATAAAACCCAAATTGATGAAGAGATACCCAAATCAAAAACCTTCCTCAAAATTTGTGATCATCCTCCATGGAAATATTTTTCAAGAGTTCTCTAGGTTTCTTCCTCTCAATTTTAGGGTTTTTCTTTGTATTTCACTTTCCAATCTCTACAAGTATGGTCAATGCTAGTTACATTCAAGATCAACAAAATGATAAGATCATTAAGATGCCTGGGCTGTCCCAAAATGTCAACTTCTCCCAATATTCCGGTTACGTCACCGTCGACTCTCGAGCCGGTCGGGCCCTCTTTTATTGGTTTGTCGAGGCCCATGAGACAGCTCAACCCGAATCAAGACCGATTGTTCTTTGGCTCAACGGTGGGCCAGGCTGTTCTTCGATCGCTTACGGAGCGTCCGAGGAAGTTGGGCCTTTTCGGGCCCAACCCGATGGTCGAACACTTCATTTGAATCCGTATGCTTGGAACAAAGGTACGTGTAGTAATTCTGTTGAAAGAGAGTTATCTAAAAGTGAATCTATGCCTGTTACATGTTGAATTGTATTGATACATACATGTATTAAATACACTGAGAGGATGGAAGAATGGGGAATGATGTAATTTGCAATATTACAGCGGCAAATCTGCTCTTCCTGGATTCACCTGCTGGTGTTGGATTTTCCTATTCTAATACCTCATCAGATTCATCAGTTGGTGACAAGAGGACAGGTAACTCTTGCTGTAATTTCTCTCCAAACCCAGATTATATAAACATATATATATATATATATATATGTATATATGACCTTAATGTTTGTTTACTGTTAAAATGCAGCTAAAGATGCTTATAAATTTCTAGTAAAATGGCTTGAGAGATTTCCCCAATACAAGCATAGGCCTTTCTACATTAGTGGAGAAAGCTATGCAGGTAAATTCCCCAAATCTTCATTTAATTACTGTAATATTCATAATTTTTTTATATAAATACATACTTATTTTTGTTAAATAAAATTTTTAGGTCATTATATTCCAGAATTATCTCGAGTAATAGTATGGAGAAACAAAGGCGCGAAGCATCCCGAAATTAATTTTAAAGGTTTTTTGGTTAGTCAATACAAAAATTTAGTACCATTCATGCAATTTAAATTTTTAATTAATCACTAATCTTGCTTAATTAAATTAATTATGATTGGTTTTTGAAAAATTACGGCAGTTGGGTAACCCGCTAATAGATAATTACTGGGACAATGTTGGAACACACGAGTACTGGTGGAATCATGGACTGATATCCGATTCAACCTACAAGCAACTCAGCAAGTACTGTCCGCATGACTCGTTCTTGTTCCCCAGAAATGGATGTAACTCGGCCTTGACTCAGGCTTACTCCGAGTTCGGAAACATTGACCCTTACGACATTTATGGGGATCCCTGTAATTTGCCCAAGCAAAATTTAAACCATTCCCTGGTAATTATATATTATCCCTGTTATTGTTTCCCCACCTATACATATACACATATACATATGAATTTAAGAGAAAGAAGATAATACTTGGAATTTCAGCCATGGAAATTCAGAGGACACGATGAGTGTGTGGTGAATTACACGAGAAAATACATGAACAACCCAGATGTTCAGAAGGCTCTCCATGCAAACCTTACTGGGATTCCACGTCCTTGGCTTACTTGCAGGTGCTAATTACTTAATTAATTTGTTGTTATTACCATTAAAACACATTTAATTAGTTAAATAATTATTGATTAACTCTAATATTTTTCTGTCTATACATTGTATTTGGTGTAGTTCTGTTATTAGAGGAACTGGGACTGATTCCCCAAAGTCAATGCTTCCTGTCTTCAAAGAACTTATAGCAGCTGGTATTAGAATCTGGTATTCAGTAATTATATATTATTATTATTATTATTATTATTACTATTATTATGTACTGTAATGAAAATGGTGTGTCATCGACAGTGGTGTACAAACGCTGTTTTGCCACTGACTGGAAACTCGGTACTCCCTTAAAGCTCTCGAGCTCAAGACTGTTACCAGTTGGCATGCTTGGTATGACAACCATGGACAGGTTAGTTTCTCTCCCTGCGTATGTATATACATATACATATATATTAATACTGTATTGATGGGTTATATATGTATAGGTTGGTGGGTGGAGTGAAGTATACAAAGGACTGACTTATGTGATAGTAAGAGGAGCAGGACATGAGGTTCCATTGAGTCAACCTCGGCTTGCCCTAATATTATTCAGCCACTTTTTGAAGAACCAGACATTACCAGCTTCTCCTTCAAATTGATACATATACATATACATATATATATTATATATTATATTGTTTAAATCAATTATATCACATTTAATTATTTTTGTACGTAACAATTACAGTTTCTTATACATTATTTTTTGTATTTAATTTCACATTCTATAGCATTGTAACAAATTAATACACGAATGCTTTTTAACTATACAATAAGTTAATTTCATTCTGCAGATACTCTAAAGTTACAAATAAATATTATTTTAATATATTTTGGGCCGGGCCTAATTAACAAATCATAAGTCCCACTAATTTAATTTTATAATCACATATACCTATATATATATATATATATAATCACATGTACATGCACAATTCAATAGTTAAAAGGCTTTTACCATTCTACTTAAACTTCATGAATTTTAAATTTTATTCAAGAAATAAAACTTGTAATTTTTTTAATATATTATAATACCAATTAATAATATTTAATTTAATAAATTTACGATTTAATTTATTAATTTATTAATTATTTTTTTTTTTAGAAGATTGTATTACCCATTATTTTGTTATTATTTATTTTTTAATAAATGAAATATTTTAAAATTTTATTTTAAAAAATAGAAGTTTAGTTTGTATGTAGTATATAGTTGACCCCCCCCCAGATGGACCTCCCACCAGATGCTTATTTGCTCATTTACACTATTATATTGACTTCCTTTAATTTATATATGTATATATATATATATATATATATAATTTAGTAGATCCCATGTGTAAACTTAGACGACATGATTATATTATTACTTATATGTATATATTTAGTAGAGTATATACGTAAACTTAGGTCACATTCATGATTAAATTATGAACAGTAAATCCAATTTCTGATTCCCTTCACACAGAAAATATACATGTAAACTTTGGCGACATGATGAAATTAATATAAAATATATCCAAAATATTCGATGCCTTTCACACTAGAAATTATATAAACTCTTTGCGGATCATCTTGTGATTTATATATGCAAATGGATTCGTTGCAGATCAACGAGTACGAATTACATGATTTCTTGGATGATCCCAACTTTGATCAGTTCATCAATCTAATTCGAGGAGAAGACGAAGAGCCCGTTGGCGACGGTAACGTCGGTACCTGCTTCCTTGATCCTCCTCCGGCACAGATCGACTTTGATTTCAACATCGTTGGCGACACGTTAGTACCGAGTGCGGGTGTAGTATCGGGTTTGGATGCACCGGAGGAAGAAGATGATTCTTCCACTACCATCAACGTTGTTGCTGCGAGAAAAACTAGAATGGACAGATCAAGAACCCTAGTCTCCGAGAGAAAGAGGAGGGGTCGGATGAAGGAGAAGCTTTACGCACTGCGTTCGTTGGTCCCTAACATAACTAAGGTAATGCGGTCGGACATAAGTCTCCTCTACATATATATATATATATATTTATATTGTTCGTAGACGACATGTGTGAAACTCTCTGAGCCAACAGATGGATAAAGCGTCGATAGTCGGAGATGCTGTCCTGTACGTTGAAGACTTGCAAATGCAGGCCAAGAAATTAAAAGCTGACATTGCAAACCTTGAAGCATCCTTAGCAGGCTGCCATCAATCAACCGAAAGCAAAGATAACAACGTCAAATTTGCAGCTTACGACAAACCACCTACCAAAAGAATCAAGCAGGTGACATCTATAATTTCAACAGTTACATAACACTTGCGTTGAAGATCATACGATGTAATTCGAACCCATATACAGAAAAGTGGAAATAACCCATACCTGTGTTTGTGTGTGTATGTATATATATATATATTATATAATGAGTAATTAAATTTTTGCATTTGGGTAAATATGTAGATGGATGTATTTCAAGTGGAAGTATCAGAATTTTACGTGAGATTAGTCTGTCAGAGAGGAGAAGGGATTGCAGCTTCCCTCTACAAGGCTCTTGAATCGCTCACAACATTCTGTATCAGAAATTCCAATTTGGTTACTGTTGACGACACATTTATATTAACATTTACAATTAACGTAAGCCTTTAATTAACTAATTAATTAATTCCCTTAATTTTTTTTTAAAATTAATTACTTTACTAATTAACTTTTTTAATTTTTGTCCAAAAAAAAAAAAAAAACACAGGTGATAAATTGTGAGCAGAGTTTGAACTTGCCAAATTTGAAGCTGTGGGTGACTGGAGCACTTATCAACCAAGAATTTGATTTTCATTAACAAGTGTTTTATGCCTTCGTCACCTTTCTTTCTCTCGCGCTCCCTCGAGTCATCAATAATAATTCCCCGTTACTCGTAGCTATCGAGTTTTACCGATAGTTTGATAACTCTTTTATAAAAAAGTTATCGTAAAAGAATTTATAATTTATTAAATCTTGAATTTTCAAAAAGTTATTGAATTGAAATTACAAATACACTCAAATTATAGATGTTGAAATTGTGCTTGACTCTCAAGAAGAGAGTAGAAAACTATAGGCACGATTATTTGAGATGTGTTTATTATATTTATACATATATAAAACTAAAACAGAGTCGAGACCCCCATATGCATAATTATTGATGGTGTGTGTGTGTGTGTGTATATATAATATATATATATATATATATGTATATTATAATTATAATATAGAGATGTGGTAGCACTACTTTATGGAGCCGTAAAGATAATTAATAATACATTAAATTAAATTAAATTAACAAGAGATAAACATTATTCTATTCTCAACTATATATGGATAACCCAATCTTATTATTCTTTATTAAGAACTTAAAAAAAAAAAAGAAGAATCCCATGTAAATTCAAGTAAATTACCAAATTGCCCTACATTATTCTTTTTAATTTTAATTTTAAAAAAATAAAATAAGCAACTTGGTAAATTATTATTCCTTCATTCTTTGCTTGCCTTGTGGCATTTACATTGTGGAATTTGATGCTTTACATATATATATATATATATATATATGTATATATATATATATATTTTTGGAGGGGGAGAATAATATTTTGATTCTCTGTCTTATAATTGGGAAGAAGCATGCCTATAATCCAGTCAACAATATTCACTTTGTAAGTAGCAAGTCATGCCTCTACATATATATATATATAGAGGCATATACATATATGGTGGATTCTCAAGTAATTTAAGTGGGTTGTGAAAGTATATTATGATTTTATTTTATTATTGTAATTAGACTCCATATATATATATATATGTTTAAAATTAAATTTGAGATTTTAATTTTTAAAATTTAATTTAATTTATTCGTTACAGTTATACCAATACATTAATAAATTAAGTCATTTATAAATATATTTATAAAATAATTAATTTTATTTTTAAAAAATACATGTACTATACTAATTTTAGATGTATATATATATACAAATATATGTGTATGTACATATATAAACAAATATGGCCACAATGGCATTTTAGTCATTCTAATTTATAGTGTCAAGTTCCTTAATGACTAAGAAGTGTTTTTTATTTTATTTTATTTAAAAAATTCACTATGCAATCACTTCTAAAGTGTATCTAATTTTTTAATTGTTATATAATTATATGTATGATTATATGATGTTGGGCTTAAATTTCTATTTATGGAATTCAATTTTAAACCCAATTAATACTTTTAAAAAATTGATTAATTATACTTGAATTATAAAATTAGTAGTTTTAATCCGAGTTATTATTATAAAAAATTAAATTATTATTAATTATAAATAAATTATATTAATTATTATTTAATTAAGTAATTAGTACGTCTAATTTTTTTTATAAAAAATTATAAATTTTGATTTTAACGCATGCTAATTTTTAATTTATATTTAAAAAGGAAAATAAAAGAGGAAAGTAGATGAACATTTTGAATTTTTGATCAGCTTTTAAGACATAAAATAAAAGAAAAAGACACCCATCAAAAAAGCTGATCATAAGCGCCAACAAAATCAAACCAAGCCAAACACGCCCTTATAATTTGCACCGCTGGTCTCACGCTCTGCAAAAAATCAAACGCTTCATAACATCTTCAAAAAAAAAAACTAAATCAGCTTCTTCGCGCGCAAATTCACCGCAAAACAAACGGAAAAATCATGTACAGATTCAGCAACACCGTCATCGGATTCCTCAACCTATTCACCCTCCTCGCATCCATTCCGATCATAGGCGGCGGACTCTGGATGGCGAAGAGCTCCACAACCTGCGAAAGCTTTTTGCAAACGCCGCTTCTGGTGCTAGGTTTCGTCGTGCTGATAATCTCACTGGCGGGGTTCATCGGAGCGTGTTTCAACGTGGCGTGGGCTCTGTGGGTGTACCTGGTGGTGATGTTGTTCCTAATCGCAGCGCTGATGGGATTGACGGTGTTCGGATTTGTAGTGACGAGTGAGGGAGGCGGAGTTCCTGTGGCGGGAAGGGTTTATAAGGAGTACAGGTTGCAGGATTATCATCCATGGCTGAGGACAAGGATTAAGGAGAGTGAGTATTGGAGGACGATTAGGAGTTGTATTTTAGGATCCAAGACTTGCGCTAAGATTGCTTCATGGACTCCTCTGGATTACCTCGAGAAGGACATGACTCCCGTTCAGGTTAATTTTACTTCTAATTAACTAATTGATTTCGTTGAATCCATATATGTTCCTGATCTGTTCTGCGTTCAATTCCTTCGATTTCAAAATTTTAACAAACCTCTCCATTAATTTCCTACTTGTTCTTGATTACTTTCTGATTTTCTGGTTTTTGATAAAAGTTCAAAGAACAATTTTTCATATTTATGTTGAAAAGTTTACTGAGAAACGCTAAATATTTTGTTAAAATAGAAGAAATTCATTAGTAGTTGTTGCTAAAAACTTTTAAATACATAAATATATATAATACTAATACAATTCTTAACATTTCAAATATATGAATATGAACTATAATTGCGAAGAAAGACTCAGAAGATTTCTATTGAAGTTTAATTCATAAAACATAACTTATAAAAATTTAGAAAACACATATTTATGTTCTTAATTTTACATAAGATTAAAGTTCTTCAATTATTATTTTAAACTCTTTAATTAAGTCTTCAAATTATTATCTCTAACAATTTAATCTAAAAATTGTTTGAATTACAGTCGGGTTGTTGTAAGCCGCCAACGTCGTGCACATACGACATGGTGACCGTGGTGCCCCAAGACCCGGATTGCTACCGGTGGAACAATGCGGCGACGCTGCTCTGCTACGAGTGCGATTCTTGCAAGGCCGGCGTGCTGGAAGATGTTCGGAGAGATTGGCACAAGCTTTCTGTACTCAATGTCGTCATGCTCGTCGTACTGATTGGGATTTACTCCATCGGTTGTTGTGCTTTTCAGAATACCCGACGGGCCGAAACCGATTACCCGTATGGTCAGAACCGGATGACCAAAGTCCGACCCAGATGGGACTACTATTGGTAATTTATCTCATCAACTCCCTCGAACTTTATGATTTTATGAATTCATCATTTTGATCGAAGCAGATGAGAAAAAGTAGTTCACGAATCATTTGGGTATCAGTTAAAATTATGTGAAAAAGTCAATTCTTAGAACACCATGCTTCTCAAAAACCAAGGTGATCGAATTTAAAAGAGGAGCAAAAGAAGAAAAAGAAAGTAAAAGTTGTTTGAAAATGAGGAGTCGATCATTACATAGTACAAATTTGTGATTTATTTTAATCAAAATTAGGATGTAGGATACAGCTAGAACTAAGATTCTTAGATATAATAAAGATATGCATTATACAAGAGTCTCGAGTGGACTGTTTAATCAGATGATATTGTTGAATATCCTTCAATATAAAAAGAAAAGAAGAGAGGAGAAAGGTGAAAGAGAGAATGACCAGCCCATGAGAAAAAAATAAAGTTGAAACATGTATATGTGGATGTTACAGAGTTTGAAAGAGTGCTGTTGGGTAAAGCATTGAAATTTTTACAGGTGGAGATGGTGGCATGGGAAGAAAGAAGAGCTGTGGTGAGGTAAAATCAATCTGTTCATGATGTTAAATGTAATTTGCAGGTGCTTTTAAGATATGGAAGAAGATGACAGATGAGTTTGGTTTCTGTGAAGACATGGAAGAAGGTCTTCTTTTTTTTTTTTCAGACAACACAGTCTTCAATGCTTTTACTTTTGATTATTGTACAGAAAGATGAGTGCTTTCTCACTTTATTTATTTATTTGTATTCCAAGATCATACTCCACTATCTTTTCTGATTTCTTTTACTCTTTTATATATATATATATATATTAGTAGAATACAACATATATGTATGTATATATATATATCAAAATTTGTATAAAGTAAAATCGAATTTGATCATAAAGTAGAACATGAATAACCTCTGTGCTAAAATCTATTATATATATATATATAATACTTTGAACTCTGTGAAGGGTTAAATTAGTAAATACCTATAATATATATTTATAAGAGAACATGAATTTTAAATGAGTGTGACTTTGTATATTTTTATTAAAAAAATTATATTATAATTGATATATATATATATGTATGTGTGTGTGTCAAATAATTATAAAATATACATGAATGACTTTCTTATAATTTAAAATTAAGAAAATCAAAGATAAAATTTAGTTTTAAATTCATTAAATTACACTGAGGATCAATTCAGATTTGTTAATTCTGACAAATTCAAGATTGAAATATTATGATATTTTAAGACTAAATTAAATCACACAGAAATTTCTTGCCTTAATTATTTTTTAAATTGTCTTTTTAGTGAGAGACAACAGATACACTTTGTATATGTACATACATACATATCTATATATATATAGATATATATGTTTTGTAATCAAAATTAAATTGTATTTTTCAAGTCTTTATCGTTAATCAATCGGGCTTTGCCACAATCTTTATTGGTTCTTGGAATCTTTGAAGCCAAACATGCCATGTCTATAAGTTAAGGAATATATCTGTTTGTATGTATATGTATATATATATATATATATATATATAGACTTTTCGTAAGATAAAAAAGTATACATACATGATCCAAAGAGAAAATTACAAGACATAATTCCCTACTTTCATATGAACCTCACATGCCAACACACAAAGTCGATGGTGCATATTTGTCCCCATATACACATATATAAATATATCCACTTAATTATATTACATTGTCTAGGCCTAAGAAAACCAAACATACATAAAAAAAAAAAAAAATTTACCCAAAACCAATTAATCTCTATTACATATTTTTAATTTAATCATTTTTGCTTATTGTTTGTTTTTTTTCTTAAGACAAAATTAATTGGGTTTACACATAGATAATATTAACATGAAGTTTTGATTATGATCTTTAAAAATTGAAACTAAAAAATTCGTCAAATTTTTTTTTTAGGGTTTGGTATTAAAAAAATGAATGTTGAATCTAACCTATACATACAATATTTTGTTTAAGACTCAATCAACTCAGAATTGACATAGTTAAAATTTTTGGTCTTTGAAACTTGAACATTAGCGTTTAGTGAATGCTTCAATCAATAAAGAATATTTCTAAACGTGTAGACAAAAGTAGTGCAACTTAAGCCTAGCAGGACAAGAATGGATCTATCATTGTACCATATTTATTGTCCCTTAATATTAATCCAAACTTTTTATTTATCTTACCATTGGAAAATAACAAATATAAGTCTTTAATTTGAAATATATAAGTTTGAATGTAACAGCTCGTGAACTTGAAAGAAAATAAATTATGAATTGAATGCGAAAGCGAAATAAATAGTTAGGGTTTACATTCCTTACACAATAATTCAGATTACCCAATAGAGATACGGGAATAACCATTTTAAAAGAAATAACGAAAAATCAAATAAATAAATAGAAAATAAACAACTGGGCATTTAATTCGCAACCCTCTTATAGATCGGGTTCTAGATATTGATCTGAAATAATTGATGAAAGAGTGAGTTATACTATCCAGTAAGAATATCACGCTACTCATCGACACAAAAATGAAGGTTGGTAAAAATCATGAAAACAACTAATGGAGCTCTTAATTTAAGTAAATTCGTTTATCATAAATAAAATCATTTACTGCATACTTATCGTAGCGAGATTTTCAAAACTAACATATAGAGTCAATAATATAAACAATATCATAATCTCATAAGCAATCAGTCGACAACAACAACTTTTTCTTTTATCAGCCTACTGGTATTCATGAGAGTCCATAGGGATGTTCCTACTACGCATGAACCATTTTTTAACATTTTCAATTAATGGCCACCCCCATACCCCGTCCGGTATGAGCGGCAAAATATCATTCCTTAATGTCCCGTCCAGCATGATGGTGAAATAGGCCGTTTCCATATCCCGTTTGGTATGAGCGCCAAAATACTAATTTTCAATACCCCGTTCGGTATAAGGCAACATTCACGGTAGAGTTTCCTATATACCCTGTCTATCCACCATCTCCTAGGATATCTAGTAAGGCTACCGTTCATTCATTCACTTAATTAAATAATTTTCCATTTACCTTTAATTTTTAGTTTCCCAAATTGACTGTAATCACATAAAATAAGCAATACACGCATCAAGAAAACACAATCGTATCATCATATAATTCCAGTATATTATCATGCATTTGAAACTGTAAAATTAACCAATCAGCTAAACATGACAAACAGTAATAAATAGCCAGTTCTGACTCTATTAGTGATCTGTAATTAATTATGAATATTTTTTAAATTACAAAAATATCATATTATTATTAATTAAAATTCGATTCCACAACATGGAATAAATTGAGAGATTCTTATTCGAATTAGTGTCCGAACACTAAACTTTTAGCTGTACCTATCGGTGGTTTTTAGGTTTTCTAAATTTTTCTTTGGGGATTAAAACATACTCCAAGCATTTAGAAATAACCCAAAAAGTTCAAAATCAATGTTAGAAACCCTTTTTGGCTAATTCTGAAATTCTGGCACAGCGGCTACGCCGTGCTTCGACGACGACATCACCACTCGCGACAGCTGTTTACCTCAGATTGGCTATTTTTGGCCGATTTTATACTCATCCATGCGAGAAAACACGTTAAGGGGGCTCGATTAGCCAAGAAAATCGAAAAATCAAAGCTTATCAGCGGTGGAATTTTTCGATGCGGCGGCTCCGCCAGCTCACATTCACAGTTGGATGTTTTGCTTCGGTCAACTTGTAAAGAAAGGAATGTTGATTATAATGGTGGAAAAATTACACGAAACGAGAATCGAGAAGGGTCTCATCGGAGGCAGTTTTTACTTTTTTCTACAGCGGCGTCGCCAGACTTTACACGCAATTTCCTGCTCATCCGCCGGTCCTTTTGCTCCAATTTAGGCATAAGAGTGTTCAAACTTGAATTTCAAGCGAATGGAGAAAATTTTACCTCTTTTGGCGATCGAAAATGGCTCTGGCGCGGCGGTAGGTGACGATCGACTCCCTTCCCAGCGACTAGCTCTTCTTTTTCGGAGGCAGTTTTTACTTTTTTCTACAGCGGCGTCGCCAGACTTTACACGCAATTTCCTGCTCATCCGCCGGTCCTTTTGCTCCAATTTAGGCATAAGAGTGTTCAAACTTGAATTTCAAGCGAATGGAGAAAATTTTACCTCTTTTGGCGATCGAAAATGGCTCTGGCGCGGCGGTAGGTGACGATCGACTCCCTTCCCAGCGACTAGCTCTTCTTCTTCGGCAGGGGGTTTTGGCAGCTAGGGTTAGGGTTTGATGTGAAGAAGGTTATTTATATCTGTCTCATTTTAATCTGAAACATCCGATCGCGTTTAAATAGGAAGTAAATTTGGACCGTTCATCGCGATTTGATCTGGACCGTTTGATCACATTTAAATAGGAAGTGAATCTGAACCGTTCATCGCGATTTGATCTGGACCGTCCGATAGCGTTTAAAGGGGGAACATATTCGAATCGTCCGTGCACGTGGAAACAAATTCGGACCGTCCGATCGTGGGCACGCGAATCGCCAGTGTAGTCTCCCGCGTGGCATCACGTCAGCGTAACTTGCCACGCAGCGTGCTCTGGTTCGTCGAGGTTGCTGACTGAACGTCCTACGTGACACAATTTTCTTAAATTGTATTTTAACTCGTAATTTTCGATGTTTCTTTAAAAAACATCTTCATAACCTAAATTTTCATTCATTTTTCTCAAAATTATTTTTAATTTCATCTTCCACATATTTTTCTTCATTTTTACATTAAATTAAAAAATTCAAGAATTAAGAAATTATATTTATACATTAATTTTAATTATACTAAAATTAATTAAGAATATTACATTAAATGAGTTGATCTCAAATAAATAATTGTATCTATCTCTCAATCTATCTATCTATCTATCTATATCTTTATCCCATGTAACTATTTACGTAGATATTTGTAATTAATGAATATGTACAATAAATTTTATCGATTTACTATAAATTATTCATGTATTAAACTTTTCAAATTTAGATCAATTTATGTGTTTATTAATAAACAATTATTTAATTAAATAACATGTATTAAATCATAAAAATCTAAACCCATATGATGTTAAACATTAATTCACTCTATTTTTTTTTTTTTGAAAAATATTATAACTATATATTGTATATGGGTATGTATATATATATATATATATATATGAAGAAAATATCAGCAACAGCAGTAATCAGCTTTTTTTATAGGTGGCTGATATTTCTTTGTTCGATAAATGCCATAAAAGGGACGCCGTCGAGCCACTTGCACAACGTTAATGCACCGTGTTCTTTTAGGACATCAACTTGCGTCCCTTGATTTTTAAAGGCTACAACCCCAAATTGAACTAGTTTGAATATTTTTCTTAAAACTCAACACACACACACATATATATATCTCTATATCTATATCTATATATATACTACACGTACATGTTTGTTCTCCTTTTTGCTTGGTGGGTTCTCTCTCTCTCTATATATATAGAGAGAGAAAGGATGGTAGGCTTGAGAAGAAGGCAAATTGATGTCAATTTTCAAAAGAACCACTCTCCCATCCCATCTTATTCCATCAATCCAAACAAGACTTCTTCCATCTCTAAATTGAAACCAAATATACCCTTTGAAATTTCTTCATATGTTCCAGTCATATTAGGGAAACCCAATTCCACTAAAGTCTTAGTGTTTGTTAGGGCCTCCCCACCTTGTTCCTCTTCAAAAATTTTTGGAGATTAATTCTTAAAGTTGATCTATCGCATCTTCGCCGCATTTTTTTTTATATGTTTTACGAGAAATCTTCAGGGTAATTACCATTTCTGAGCGAAGATTCAGACGTTATTTCACGTGAATTGAAAAATTCAAATTCCTTATATTTACAAAAATTACAATTTTCATACTGACCCATTAGCTCACATAGGCCAGTGATATTCGATATGGATGTTGTCGTGCCTATTCATTTCTTACGAAAAATACGTACTACCTATCTCTTAACAAATGCGATATTATTTGGTCCCCATTTAATGAATTAATTTGTTTTATTCAATGTCTTCATTTATATTAACCGATAGTCTTAAAATTTAATACATCAAAATAAAAAATCACACGTAACATGAATATATAATTTTATATTTTCAATCACTTTCAACAACTAGTTAATTGTCCAACATTTATTTCATTCTTTTTTTTTTACCATTTTTTAATTAAATAATTTTAATAATATCACGTACGTAGAAAATTCAAACATACGATAAGTTATAAAGTCACATCATTCTCATTATCATTGCGCAAATTATTCAAAAAGTACGATATAAATACTTAACCTAAATAAGTACACTAACATTCTTATTTTTAGACATAAATGGTTGTAGTACTTTTGTATGATTTTTTATAAATTATGATTAGATCTTTCTTTTAATTAATTTAATTAATTAATTAATTAACTAAATGTTAACTATTTATATTGGGATTACAGAGATTTGTATAAAAAAAAAAAAAAATTCTTGGAATTTCATCTAAAAAAAGCTTTTAACTAACCATGATTTGAAAATTAATACTTACTAATCAATAGATTAACTAAAACTAATCTGCCCTAAATGTTTTAATTAAATAATCCTTTTATTTTCACGTTGACTTCTCTGAAAAGTGAGGTTCCCAATTGGGGAATGAATTTTTTTTTTTTTAAAATATATTATTATTAAATGATACACATATATTAATTATAATAAAATAAAATTAATTTATAAATAAAAATTTATACGATTTGTAATTCTCACCCTTAATTTTTTATAAGAAAAAAAGTATTAATTATTTATTAAATTTTTTATGACACTGAGTTTAACGTGAGTTTTGATATACGTATCGGACTATTAATTTAATGAATTTATTTAAAAGTAATCAAATACGGTTAAAATAGTATTGGAGCTTAATGTATCGGATTTAAGTACGAGTTTACAATGTACAGATGTCATTTTTGTAATATTATCATTCTATGATGGACGAAATAAGAATTGTAAAAGTTTGTTGATATAAAAGGCGATTATGATTTCTGAATTACAAGGTTTTCTATAATTCCGTCACCAGAAAAAAAGTTAATTTTTGACGCATCATGTTGATTCAGAAGATTCTACTCCCGGACGCGAATAATTTTTTCGTGGTAGATCCAGGTACGCTTCTACTTACATTTTTCATTAATTCAGTGCGAGATTGTGCGTTTAATTTTTATAGATCTACATATTTAAAAAATATTTTTATTCTAACATTATTCAATTAAATAATGATAAGATTAAATGGTCGATTTCTAATTTTTTTTTTAAAAAGGAAGAAAACAACGGTGATGATCAGAGTCAAAGTCAACGGAGGATACTGAGATCAAAAACCACAAGGTGGGTTTCTCCTATTAAGACTTGCTACCAGTTTTTAGAAATTTTATTCATTTAATTTTTTAATAAAAAGCAAAACGAATAATATATCAAAGGAAAAAACAATATGATCTACCTACCAAATATGTATATATATATATATATATATACATATAAAAATAACACATGATTAAAATAAAACTTGATCATACGGCCATTACTATTATGCATATTCTATGTGTGTGTATATACATATATAAATATATATATATTCAGATCATACCTATCCGTGATCAGCTGCATGACTCTGCCTATATGTAAAACTAACCTTTAAATATTAATTGTTGCCAAGTCCAGAAAATTAAAATTAAAAGACATGTAGAAAAAAAAAAAATACCATTTATTACCCAAGAAGAATTGCTCAAATGGAAATCGTGTCATATAGTATATCTATATATATATGTATATATATATATATACATACATACACATACACACACACACATTTATATAATAATTGAATTTCCCAATTCAATCCCAATAATAATAGTCAACAATACACACCCACACTACTCTCTCTCTCTCTCTTGAAATAGTCAAAGTTCTCAATCATGTATCGTTTCCTTTGACTTTCTCAGTTGCACATCAACCAATTTTTCCTTCACACTTTTTCATCGGCGTAAATAACCAAACCACCCTATATATAATTGGCGTACACTCACATACACTCACCATATACATGCAACCATTTCTCTCTGCAACTATATATTCATTTACAAACGCAATTTGTTTTGGCAAGTTGAAGACAACTTTGTCTATACTTGGTTTTTTACTCATCCAACTCTTTAACTTCCTTTTCGTTAGGATCTACATATACTTATATTATCTTGGGTTCTTTCGAGAGGAGGAAGAGAATTCGTTAATTACAGTGGTTCAGTTTCTTGAGCTGCACAAAAATGGCTGGAGAGGCCAAAGAGAGATCGCTGGAGGAGACTCCAACATGGGCTGTGGCTGTTGTTTGCTTTGTCTTGCTCCTTATTTCGATCTTGATTGAACATGTCATTCACATTATAGGCCATGTAAGTCCTTACATATATTATCTACTCCTATGTATACATATATATTTGTTTCTGTATATGCATACATATGTATGTAACTGGTTTTTCTGGCATCCATTTTTGTTGCAGTGGTTAAAAAAGAAGCGTAAAAGTGCTTTATATGAAGCCCTTGAAAAGGTTAAAGCAGGTATACTTGCTAATCCTTCTTCTTCTTCTTCAGCTATCTATCTATCTATCTATCTATCTATATATATATATAGCTCATATATCTCCTTGTTGGTACAGAACTTATGCTGCTGGGATTCATATCCTTGCTGCTCACAGTATTTCAAGGATATATCTCCCAGATTTGCATCCCAGAAAGCGTGGCTGCCACGTGGCATCCCTGCAACAAGGAACAAGAACAGAAGAAAAATTCTAAAGATTCCAGCAATTCGGGAAGAAGACTTCTTGATTTTGCAGATTCTGAATACTACGATCCTCGACGCAGCCTAGCAGCAGCGAAAGTTGACAAATGTGGAGCGCAGGCAAGATCAATAATTACCTATATATCTATGTATATAGATATCTATACATTTTCCGTAGTGATTGACATTTATATATCTATATGTATATGTTTCAGGGTAAAGTTGCTTTTGTGTCTGCTTATGGAATTCACCAGCTCCATATCTTCATCTTTGTGTTAGCTGTTTTTCATATTCTCTACTGCATCACCACCTATGCTTTAGGGAGAACCAAGGTACATATTATATCATATATATATATATATATATACGCATGTATGTAAGTATATCTAGTTTTATCTTCTTATGTGAATCTGTAGATAATATGCAGTGTGTTTGAATTGCAGATGAAGAAATGGAGGCAATGGGAAAA